CACTACGTCATGAAGTAATTTGGGGGGGGGTGGATGTATAGGCCCATAATTTTCTTAATCTCGACACTAGTTGGGGGTGAGTGATCAGCTTCACGCCCCGACCCCTTTAACCCCGGGGAATGAGGTCCCCGTACCCACCGGACAGGAGGTTGGGTGGACCGCCAGAGCCGTTCTGGACAACGTGGAGAAGAGAAAATTCTTGATTTTACCTGGACTCGAACTCTGATCCTTCGGTCGTCCATCACGTACCAAGTCGCTATACCGACTACGATATCCCCGCTCCCACTAAAACCTACCTTACAGCTGTCTGTGTATATCCTATTAACTTGGAGAACAACGAGACACGGTGATATTCCGAAATTCTGCTCCAAAATCCCATTTCTAACGACGTGGACATGGCGTCCTTCTGACCTCACAGTTACAACTGCGAAACTCGATACGGAGTCATGAATATTTGAGTGACGGGCGTTTTGAAACAAAAGTCACCTTTAACGACTGTTTCCGTAAATGCGCTGATAAAGCTTCGAGATAATTGCTACGCAGTTTCATGAATATCTGGGGGGGGGGAGACGGGGGGGACTCTATGTCCAAGATAAAACGCAGAAAGCAGTGAAAATATTCGTCGTAATTGTACTGTGGACGAGACTCGTGAGTGGGTCAGCAGAAATGTGATCCGAAAGCTCCAGTCCAATCCGATTGCTCAGGCAGGGCAACGTATCACTACGCCCCTTCGCTGCTAGCGATCCGTGTAAGGTGAAGTTGTCCCTAATTAAACACTACGACATGAAGACGTATGGGGGAGTGGATATATAGATCCACGTGTTGTTGATCTCGGCATTAAGCGGAGGTGAGTGGTCCGCATCAAAGGGAAATGAAATTGAAGAACGTAGGTCATCACGGGCCGTGTTTTTAGGCCTGGCTTCTGGATCGCGCATCAAAAGTATGTCAAGGAGTAGCGGGGCAGCCGTTGCAGTACAGAGTGTGAGGGATGGTGACGCCTTTGTTTGCCTGACCCATACTTACCCAACAATCCTCATGTGATACAGTGGCCTCGACCAATTCACAGCGCAGTCTACTGAGAACGGCACGGTCGGTATGTAAACAACCTACTTTTCCATTTCGATTGTGAGATCATACTCGGTTTGAAACCGACAGATGTTCAGTGGTTCCCGTCAGAACCTGCACCCCAACTCTCTGTAAGTAATAAAGGTTAAGTTGTCCTTGTGTTTAACTAATTAAGCAATATGCCATAAAGAACTATGGCGGAGTGGAGGTATAGCTCCACTATTCTTGACCTCGGTACTATAGTTAGGTGAGGGGCCAGTTTCACGCCCCGGCCGCTTTCCCCCCGGGGATGCTATAGACAGCGTTTACTTCGGTTCATGCCCATCATAATTCATGAATAATAATTACTGCTGTCTACTGAGATGTGACGTCGTGTAGTTTGGTATGCAGCTGTCTATGTTCTGGAACGGTTACTGAAGTTCTGAAGTAATCTGTTCTGTAAATCTCCAGACTTGAAGGTGAAGCAGCACGTTCTTCCGAAACGTCGGCAATCATATTGCAGAGTAACGAGGTCATATCCCACAAGACCGCACTGTTTACTGTCAACGCAGAGTTTGGAAAGAATTTGGAATGGAATCCATAGGTTTGGAACCTCAGCGGCGGGCAAAACCGTGGTCTTCCCGGGCATGAGGTGTAGTCTCTTGTCTACCAGCATTTCGGAGGCGGCAGGTACCTCAGAAACGTCGGTAACCGTCTATCAAATTGTCACTGTGTCATAATCTGAAGGATTACGGTGAAGGTGAGGAATGCAAACGAAGGTTCTTGCCCTTATCCTCTAACTAACCTTTCTTGGGAAGCTGTCAGTTGTGCATCCACACAAGAACTTCCCAACATTTTATGGAACCCGAAGGTTCATTACCGTGTTCACAAGAGCCCTCCACTGGTTCCTATCCTGAGCCAGATCAATCCAGTCCGTACCACTCCACCTTGTCTCCCTAAGGTCCATTTTAATATTATCCAATCACCTATGTCTTTTTATTCCTAGTGTTCTCTTTCTTTCTGCCTTTCGCACCAATATCGTACATGCGTTCCTCTTTCCCCCTTCGTGCTACATGCTTTGCCCATCCCATCCTCCTCGACTTTATTATTCTAATTACATTTGGAGAACAGTACAGGTTATGAAGCTCCTCATTATGCAGCTTTCTCCAACCTCCTGTCACTTCATCTCTCTTCGGTCCAAATATTCTCAACACCCCGTTCTCAAAAATCAAGTTTCACACCCATACAGAACCACAGACAAATTATAATTTTGCGTATTCTGATTTTTATGTTTTTGGACAACAGATGAGGAGATAAAAGTTTCTGGACTGAATGGTAGCAACGATTGCCTGAGTTCAATGTCATCTTGATTTCCTCCCGAATAGGTTTTGACGTTTCCGCAGGAAATATACAAGTAAGATAATTCGAGTTACTTTTCGTAGCATTTTGGGCCATGTTCATGAACAGAGCCGTCAGGGAGAAGTGAGGACCTTGCAGTTGTGTGCGGCTTGTGCAAGAACTTAACCCTGTGCACTTGAAGAGGCACCGAGTGTTGCAGATCACAGGGGACGAGGTGCGCCGCCAGCAGCTGCTAACGGATGTAGGTCAAGGTGACTTCGCCTTCAGTGGTGAGCCTACACATGCAAACAAGAGGTGCTTAACTTTCTTCTGTCAGTACGCATCCTGACACTTCATATTCTCCATCGGCAACATCTTCTCTAAGGTCCTCTTTATGAACACAAACACCGAGCAGAAGCATCCAATCTTCTCAGTCGAAAGTCAGCCAAGAAATGAAAACCGTTGAAACAGCCAAAGGTTCATAACCACGTCCACTGGAGCATGCTAGTGTGTCCTGTCCGCAGTCTGAAGACTCTCATCGTCACAACTCATTTCCCTTATAATTAATTTAATAATATGAGCACATCTATGCCTAGTTCTTCCGAATCTTTTTATCTTTAGGGTTTTCGAATTAAAATTATGTAAGTTATGTCTTATTTGGGAGGTGCACGCGGTAGCGTAGTTCGTTGAGGCACTTCGGTACAAGCCGGAAGGTCGCGGGCTCGATTCCAGGTGATGTAATTGAATTCTTCAACTGATCTAATCCTTCCAGCCGCACTATTGCCCTAGGGTCGACTCAGTCTATAACAGAAATGAGTACCAGGAATCTTCCTGGGGGGTTAAAGGGCTGCTGACGCGTAAGGCTGACAACCTCACCGCCATCTGTCAGCCTATTGTCTAGAAAATGTGGGAGCCTCGACGTCTCACAACCCTATGGGCCTCCACGGCCTGTCACAGGGATAGCTTTAGCTTTACCGTTTTATCTTATATCTTATTGTGGGTAGAGGACACAGCACGCATGGTCGAGAGACGAGAAGTTCGTACAAGAACTTCGTCGGAATGCCTGAAGTGAAGGTGGTACTTTGAAGATCGAGACTTAGACTGGAGGATAATATTAAAATGTGCCATAAGGAAATAGGTTGTGAGAATGTTGACTGGATTCGTCAGGATCAGGACACGAACTAATGGCGGACACTTGTGAATACGGTAACCAACTTTCGGGGTTCCATGAACGGAGAAAAAGTTCCTGGAGCAGGTGAGTAACTAGTAGCTTCTCAAGGAGGACTCTGTTACATGGATTTATCTGTAATTTATTTAATGACGCATATGGCGTCGAGTGTTTTGATGACCATGATGAAAACTGATTTGGAAATGGGATGGAACTGTCGTGTCATGACTGAAAATGCTTCCCTGGAATTTTCCTGTAGGGACAGTCATAAGCGTTGGAGTTACGGCCGGAGTTCGAACTGGACCCTCCCAAGTAAAACTGAGGGACGTTGAGTTTTGAGACAATTTGCTGGGTATCGCGCGACTGACCCCACCTGTTCTCTGCCAGGGCACGTGACAGGCGACCAGATAAAGTAACAGTTTTCAAGGTTGCCCATGTTTTCTTTTTTTGCTTATGTAACTATGATTCAAAGCACCTTGAACTATACGTTAACGTCACAGCTAGGCACATTAACATACATGACGTAGTTCAAGGTGTTGATCTTTAACCCCTACGAACACTGACGCTCCTGTCGAAAGGTCACTTCTCCATCGAGAGGCTGGACACAGCAATGTGGAGTCTCTACAACGACTACGGCAAAGTGGTGAAAGTGGGTGGCCTCATTGGACATCCTGACCTCGTATTCGTGTTCGACGGGGACTACATCGAGCACGTGTTCAGACGGGAAGAAGTTCAGCCTCATCGGCCCTCCATGCCCTCACTCCGCTACTACAAGCAGCACCTAAGAAAGGATTTCTTCCGTGATACCCCTGGTCTCATTGGCATGTAAGTTCGAGGCAGGTATTGGGCCTAATTTTCTGTTGACAAATGGGGATCCCAACAGTTCGGTGGAAGTTCACCGACGTTTCAAAAGAATGTGTTTCGGATTCGAAGGGTGAATGAAGCAAGCAACCAGCTAGTATCAAGCAGGTCTTCTTACTGCGTGCTTCTTACTGTTTAATTGAATTGCTTCGTTTAATTTTTATCTTAAAGATGGAGGTAGTACGTTCCTCCGAAACGTCGGAAGACTTCAATCTGCACCGCGTCACTCCAAAAGACTGGGAAGCGGAGCAGGTGTTGTTTAATGCGCAGCAGGATCGCTTCCTGTACGCACTAATGTTCACTTACTGCAGAGACGAATATACCTTGCGAAGCATTGAAAAGTATCTGAAATCGAAGCTGCGGAGCTCAATGACATTTGTACTGTTTGCCTTGTGTTGTGGTTCTGTTACTGCAGACACGGACCGCAGTGGGATGAGTTCAGGAGCAAGGTCCAGCAGGTGCTGCTACACCCCGGGGCTGCCAGGAACTACGTGGACCCTCTCAATGAAGTGGCAAGCGACTTCATGACGAGGTACGATAGAAAGTTACGCCATTGTTACAAGATGGCTAGAGCTTACTTTATAGACGACGGGATACGAAAATGCCTACCAGAGAAATCGTTCAACATACAGGACATTTCTTCCGTAAGACTCTCTACCGAGGATATGGCGTACCCTCAGAAATGTTTAGGCAAAGTTCAATACCGATATGATGCTAGAGGCTCGGTCCGTCTTGCCAAGTTCATGGTGTTTCCAGCCGGCCAAGAAATTTTCTGCCTTCATGAAACCCCAAACTTTACTACTGTATCCAAAAAAATCCCTCCAATAGATCCTAACCGGAGCCGGTTGTATCCAGTCCAAGACTACATATTTTATTTATCTGTGATTTATATTAATATTGTCGTCCAACATGTATCGAGGTCTCGTAAACAATCTATCCTCTTGAGATTTTCCCATTCGTTCTATTTTGTGTTTCTCATCTTCCCAGTGCGTGTTACATGTCCGTAGTCAAGTACATGTCAAATTTTTCTTGATTTAGCAAGCCCGGAGATATCACTGAAGGTGCCCAACTCGTGAATATAACAACAAACGTAAGCCAACCACTTCACGAGCAAATTATTGTTGTCTAAATAACTTTCAGCACGGCTTCAAAAACGAGTATGTTCTTTCCATTCAATGGCGGGAAAATGAATTTGGGAAACATATTTCCCTTCCCTCAAAGGGTGGGAAAATGTTACTGCATAATGCAGGGAATAAAATGGAGTATATGAGTGAGAAGTGGCGGTTCTGGTAATATTCATAACCATAAAGTCACCAATGTTATTTCATTACCAAGCTGGTTTTAAAAGGGAAAATGTTTCCTTTTACTTTCTGAAGTATTTTAATTTGTGTCACTGAAAACCTACAAACAAGCTGCAACTATTCCTGTCTCATAAAAGTGAGAACATGTAGCACGAATGGGGGAGAAGATTAATATATAGAGGACGTAGGTGCGGAAGCAAGAAGGAAAGATACCACTAGGAATACCAAGACGCAGGTGGATGGATAATATTAAAATGGATCTGAGAGAAATAGGATCGGATGGTGTGGACTGGATTGATATGGCTGAGGAAAGGGAATATCAGAGGGCTCTTGTGAACACGGTAATGAGCTTTCAGGTTCCATAAAATGCTGGGAAATTCTTGAGTGGCTCAGCAACTGGCGGGTTTTCAAGAAGGGCTCATCTCCACGAGTTAGTTCCTAAACTTCAGAGTAATGCTGTGTAGGGAAACAGTCGCTGTTTATTGTGAGAACCATACGGAACACACAGATACACTCTGTGGGCAGAATGCAGTATATATAAGAATTCAGTCCGTACCTCACAGGAAACATTATGTCTCAGCTACAAAGCTCAACCGGTTAATGCTGTGTAGGGAAACAGTCGCTGTTTATTGTGAGACCCATATGGAACACACAGATACACTCTGTGGGCAGAATGCAGATTTCGTTTGCTATAAAAGAGCAGGTGCTTTATTTTCGTGGTGTGGGAGAGAGAAGCCAAATGGTATGCCGGCCAATAATTGGCCTATTTTACCAGCCCCGGATGATAGATGATTGTGGAACATTTGGTGGAATAAAATTGGCAAGGGAAAATACTCGGACGAAACCTGATCCAGTGCCACTTTATCCACCTCAAATCCCACATAATCTGGGATCGAATCCGGGCTGTCGCGGTGGGAAGCCGACTACGAACGGACTGAGCTATGACAATGTGGTTATACGTTGTTCCTCAAAGGGTCAAGACCGTGAGGTTTAACCAATTCTTCATGGCATTCCACCCATGTGCCAGCCTCGGCTCACTCTCCAGTGCAATTCATTCTGTTCGATACTGAACACGTTCGCAGGTAACCCGCCCATCTGGAGGGCGTCACCCCCATTCCAATCCTGAAAATGTATCACGCCCTGGTACCAATGGGCCACTCAGTGCGCGTTACGTGTTACACGAGATTGGAAATATTCCCTCAGCTAGGAACACACGTACTCGTACGTAGCCCCTCTCCACTGTCCTTTGCGTTCATTTATTGCCAATAAAACCCAATATCTACAAAGCTAATCGCACCAAAGATATGACACTACAAAGCCAGCAATTCATGTATATTACCGTTCCACACAACCTTGTACACAATCACTATAAATTATGTGTACTGTCTTATCATATTTACCTACATATTTGTCCTCAAAGGTCATCACAAGGTTACAATGTATGTATTTTACCGAAACTGCTGTTAACTGCACCTACGTCCACTAGAATATACAGATTGTGTAGTTAAATGTCGAAAGAATTGTACATAAAATATACTAAATGTACAGTGAAGTGTTAAGACAGTGAGCATATATATATATATATACCGTATATATTGGTTGTCAATACACTATGGCACTGAGGAATATTATTTCATTATATAATTTGATTTTCCTCAATTTTTCTAAGCGTTCACAATACTGAAAAATGTTTAAGATATGCTATATATTACAGATCTTAATGAGGCATATGTTTTAAAATCCTGAACAAATTCTTGTTTTCTTAGGGCCTTCGGATTGGAAAGCTGTAAAAATAAGCCTATTTGCTTCATTATGCGTGTCAGAACGTGTATGTGTGTCCGCATGCAAGAAGCCAAGAGCCACTGAAAGGATTGTCATATAAAACTTAAAATGGAAGATGTTTATTAACGTGTGGCAATATAATCTAAATTTGGTTGAAATTTGACTCTAATAATTTGCAAATGTTTCTGTACTCTTGAGAAGCCTAACTTGAACATGAGTGTTTATATATTTATCGAAGTGAGAAACGTTTGGAACAAAAGCTGTAGACAAACAGAAACACGAAGCGTATATTTTATATCCAACACACGTGTTCCCGCAAGTCTCGCGAGATAATCGGACATGAGATATATCGCCTTACGCGTAGGTCTGCGTTTTCTTTGTTACACAAGGAACCGGTTTCTGAAAGTAGACTAATGTTCGATTTATGCTTCACGTAATGCAAGCATTGCATTGGATTCGTACGAACATGATTTCAAATTGTCTCACGTTTAGTGTGGAGCCCTTTATTATGAAATCTAGTGGAATGCCCTTCATTCTGCTGAGATGTATCACGTTCTTCTAATGATGCCTAAAAAGCAACGATAGCACACGGACAGCTTAAAGTTTTGAAGAACCCAGAAACGGAGTAAAAGGCAAATACACGTTAGGTCATGTGCAGGCTAATCATACGTGTTTCAGTCGGAAGTCTGTCCGCCCCATTCCCTAAATTTCATACGAACCGCGACATCAGTTTGGAGATGACCGCAGAGCGCGTACTGCGCTGAGAACAGCTGCGTGCGCAACCGATCGCCTGTACATTGAATAGGTTACGGGAATTACAAAGATCTAATTCGTCAAAACTATGGAGAAAATTACTGTACTCTGTATGTTTCTTTTTTCATGAGGTGAGACTGAGTCCCTTGTACTGCGGCCACTGTTTGTCCTATTGTACCAGCCCCCGATGATAGGTGAGGGCGATTGTGGAGCAATTGGTAGAATGAAGATTGGCAGGGGAAACCGAAGTACTCGGAGAAAACCTGCCCCAGCGCCACTTTGTCCACCACAAATCTCACTTGACCAGACCGGGATCGAACCCGGGCCGCCGCGGTGGAAAGCCGGCACTAACCGCCCGAGCTATGGCGCGGCCCTATCCTGCATATTAATTGCATAACCGAGTTACATGAACATGTACCAAATTGTTTCATACCTGAGACTCTGTAGGGGAAAGAATTTTCTCTTCTCCATGCCGGCCAGACAAGTTCTGGGGGCCGCCCGGTTTCCTATCGCGTGAGAACCTGGGTCTATTTCCCTGGGGATAAAGCGACCGAGGCGTGAATTCGACCACTCACCTCCAACCACTGCCGAGGTCAAGAAAACGTAGATTTATAAATCAACTCCCCCATACGCCTTCGTGGCGTAGTGTTTAATTACTTAAGCACAGGGACAAATTTACCTTTTACCTTACAATTTATTTGTGGTTTCTTAAACGAGGCTGTGAGTAACCGAACTAGGCAGGCTGGAATTACGGGATTGTTAATCAATAATGAACTGGAACTTGTGTCGATGCTATTGGGCGTTGCCTACCTTAGACACCCTCACAGATTTTGCCTAGAGATAATAATCTTCAGTCAGAACAGCATGTCGTAGAACTAAGATCTAAACCCATGATCTCCCGAATATAAAGCCTCTGAATACACACGAGAAAATATCGGAATTATTTCATCAACATCTGAAAAGAGGACCACGTAGCTAAGAACACTTGAGCCTGGGCATTTCTGAATCTGTATGTACCTTTGTGTGTCACACAGGATTGACATGCTTCGAGACGACAAGCAGGAGCTTCCGGAACACTTCCTCAGCGAAATTTACAAATGGGCTCTGGAATGTAAGTAGTTCAACTGCAATGTCTCCCTTCGCTTTAGAAACAAAATAATTCTCAGTACTTCAAACAAAAGACTACAATTCTATGTGCAGGACGCACATAAACATTCATGTGTGTATGTACGTCATTTCCACAATGAGGAGCTTCATAACTTGTACTCTTCTCCAAGTATAATTAGAGTTATCAAGTCAAGGAGGACGAGATGGACAGGGCATGTAGCACGAATGGGGACGAAGAGGAATGTATATAAGATATTCGTGGGAAAGCCAGCAGGAAAGAGACCACAGGGAAGACCAAGACGTAGGTGGGTGGATAATATTAAAATGGGTCATAGAGCGACAGGATGGGGCGGTATAGACTGGATTGATCTGGCACAGGATAGAGACCAGTGGAGAGCTCTTGTGAACACGGTAATTAAACTTCGGCTCCCATAAAATGTTAGAAATTATTGAGTAGCTGCAAAACGGGTGGTTTCTCAAGAAGGGCTCAGCTCCATGAAATCAGTTACGTATATTTTCATAAGGCCAAGGGACAGCAACATTGCCCCTCTGTTTAAGCAGGCAGAATGCCACGAACGCGTTTTGGGAAGTGTGGGTATAGCTCCGTGCATTCTTAACCCGGGCACTAGGTGGGGGTTCGTGGGCAGGTTCCTACGTCGTGTTATTCCGGGGTTTCCATCTCACTGTGGCTCAGACAAGGCCAGCAGATTCAACTGGTGCCGATAAATTCCCTGAAGATGTTAGAAAATTATCATTCGAGACGAACTACCGAGGACCTTGGCTCAGGAGGGTACCGCGAAAGAGTTAGGTTCGAATCTCGGTCAGAACACCGACTATTCTGAATGGCGCTTTTCTTGGTCTTTCTCAGTCCCTCCAGGAAAACTGTGGGCAGTGTTTCAAATTAGACCACGGACGTTTCCTTCCACATCCTTTTGAATTCATTATTCACAAACCACCTTACAAATCGACGTTACATAACGAAAAGTACGATGTAATTTAATGTACCATAAATAAACTAAATAAATGTTTCGAGACGGAGGCGAGCGAGCAAAGTGTTGAGTTCTTCACACAGAATTTTACCCGACACGTTGATGTAACGCGTGAGAGATTAAACCACTCTCGTAACTAATTAACCAGAACTAACAGAAGTTGAGCACGAATGTCGGACATGCGCACTTACTGCTACGGCGACTAATACGGAAAACTTGCAATGAGAGGCGAACCTGTAGCGGACAGCTGTCGTGAACACAACGCAACAGCAAGCCCACCACAGAACACATGACCTAGTTCGATGGTCCGCGTCACGGCTCACGGCGAACGCGCCCAGTTCTATGAGAGGCAGTCAAATGAAAACGAGTCAGAAGCCAAAACGTATTAAAGAGCATTTCTTACCTCAAAAGTAATCTCCAAAACTGTTAATACATTTATCCCACTGGGAGATAAGACGGTCAATCCCATCCTTGAAAAAGCTTGTGGGCTGTCTACGGAACCACGTCTTTACCCAGCCACACACGTCTTCGTCCGATGCAAACCGATGTCCACGAATGTCTCTCTTCAGGGCTCCAAAAATGTGAAAATCACATGGGGAGAGATCTGGGCTGTAAGGGGGATGTTGAAGCACTTCCCAACCAAATCTCTGTAGCGTGTTCCTCACAGAGTTGGCAGTGTGGGGGGGGGGTGCGCATTAACATGAAGAAGGATAATGCCGTTCAATAGCATTCCAGGGCGTTTTGACTTTATGGCATGCCTCAGTTTCTGCAAAGTGTCTTCATAGTGCACTGCACTGATTGTGGCCCCATGCTGGAGTAATTCGACAAGCAGTGGGCCCTTGCAATCGAAGAAGGTCATCACTTTACCGGAACTGGTGTGTATGGCTTTGGATTTCTTCTGTGGGGGAGAATTCACGTGTTTCCACTGTCGGCTCTGCCGTTTGTTCTCGAGTTCAGAATGGTGGTACCATGGCACCAAGTTTCGTCCCCAGTGGCAATACGGGACAGAGAAGCATACTCTTCCTCATGGTATCGTTGGAAGTGACCCAGTGATGCAGCCATTCTCTGAGTCTTCTGTTCCTCCGTGAGTTGAGATGGAACCCACTGCGCGCAGATTTTGCGGTACAACGGCGTGTACGGAGCCGTGACTTTTCCCATCAAAAGACTAATTTCTTCCACAGTGAGCCGTCGGTTTGCCCGGATATGGCCATCCAATGCAGCAGTAACATCAGGAGTGATGACACGATGAGCCTGTCCTGGGCGAGCCTCATCTTGCAGTGACACACGTCCCTCTCGGAATCTCTTATGCCACGCCAGCACACGCGCACGTGACATGCTGTGTTCGCCGTAAACAACAGACATGCGACGATGAATTTCTCGTCCTCCTACTCCTTTAGGAGTCAAAATGCGCACTACACTTCGCTGTTCTTTACCCGCCTCCATTACTGATGTTGGACGATCACACGTAGCGCTAACCTTACTTCCAGTACAATAAACAAACGACTAGTGTGCAAGGGCACCTTGTCACTGTGCTTTCCCGAGTCTCCACCAAATGTTCGTGCAGAAAGCAAATTCCAGTGTTACCAACTTTCGCGCCGTGTGAGTTATGCGTGCTGACCCGTTTTCATTTGACTGCCCCTTATAGTTCGTACAGTTCCGTCGAAGTCACGTAATGAGGATATGTCGGCGGTTTGATTTAACCACCCTTACATTACGAGGGTTAATAATCCCTACACCTAAAGGCGCGTCCACATTACTCGTACTCATGCTCGTGTAACTCGCTATGCTCGCGAGTAATGTGGGCGATATGACAAGTCACGAGGTAAGCAAATTTAAAATTTTTAATTTAAAAACTATAGCCAATAAATTAAAATACGACTACAGCCTATACACACTACGAGTAAATATACGGATCCTCACGCGCCGAAGCCTGGCGAGCAACTGAAGTAGTGTGGACGAAGATTTACGGGCACAAGTAAAAGCCAGACGAGTCTCCCGACGAGTACAAGCCTGGCAAGCACGAGCACGAGCACGAGTAATGTGGACACACCTTTACTCTATTAGAAATGTGAAAGGTGGTTGAAAACTGTAGACACTGATGACTTCTTGTATGCTGAAACGTCTTGTAGTCTGTTAGATGTTTATCATCAGACTTGTACCCTGAAGAGGGAAGCAGCAGGTTCTTCGGAAAATTTAGTACCTACCGACAAAACTACACAGAAACGAAATCTTAAGTCATAGTTCGAAGTCTACTTCTTTAAGATCCACTTTAATATTATATAATATTATGTCTAGGTCTTCCAAGCTGGCTTTTTCCTTCATTATTTCAGACTAACTCCACATATTCATCTCTCTTCTATACGTTGCATGAACATGGCCCGGTCATCTCATTCTCTCCAGTTTAGCTATCCAAGAGTACAATTTGTGAAAGTCGTGGAGAGTTTTATGTACTGTGATGTAACGCCGTGTAGACCAGTGATATCGCAGGACGTTTCGGAGGAAATACCTGTATACTGTCGCCATCTTCAAGTTCTAAGTGTAAGGTAAGCAAGAAACAAACAGAAAGCAGACTGCAAGCTGTTCCTCCGGAAACAGGAGCGTTACCGCATGCTCCCCCCCCCGATCCGTCCCCCC